TATTGCTCGTGGAGAGAAGAAGAAAGTTGCCAAGGAGTTGGTGCTTATAATCAGGGCTTCCTCGATAACTTGACTCAGTTTGAATGTAACTTAGAACCTGTCTTGGCTCAAAGGTGATCACCGTATTTTTACTCCTACTCCTCCTCCTCATCCTCCGTCTTCTCCTCCTCCTCCTCCTCCTCCTCCTCATCATCATCATCATCATAATTATCATCATCGTCATCTTCGTCATTATTATCGTCATCACCATCATCACTATCGTCAACATCATCATCACCATCATCATCGTCGTCGTTGTCGTCTTCATCACCATAATCGTTATCACCTTCATAACATCATTAATTCACCTTCATCGGAAGCAACATGAACATACTGCAGCAAGCTAAAGCATCATAATCCACGTCATACTTCTTTGTAAATTTAGTCATCATGAGTTTCCGGTTCTTCCGTTGCCTAGCCAACGGAGGCGACGCTGAGTAATTAGGGCACACATGTATTCAAAAGTGACTAATGTACGGTGGAGTAGAAGCTTGGAGACTGGATCGTAATGAAATTGTCGCGAAAAAACCGTTTTTATGTCCCTTGATACCTAAGTAAAGTTCTTGATTAACATTTTTCTTTCATTTCAGATTCATCAAGTTCGACCGATTCCGCTATAAAGAGAGGCACAAGAAGGCGATATCACCTTACGTGGCTGCTCTCCAAAGTCTCATCCTGGATACTTTCTACATGATCTTAATTGTTATCGGAATTTTCATCGTTTTCAAAATCCTGGGCATCGCCGTGTTCCTGTTGCTTAAAAAGTTTGATCTTGTACGGCAAGTAAAACACTACCAGACCAATCATGACCTCACGAGAGAAATGGCTGTTCCCCATTGCATTAAATATCCTTCATCGGAACAAATCGAAAGAGAGATCAGACCCATTCAATTGTCTGAGGAGATGAGAAGAAAATTTGGCCCTACTGTCCGAGAGGGGTACAGCACTCAGTGGGTCAAGTAGTACAGTCTGTTTCTCTACCGTACACGCAATCCATGATTTCATATAAAGTACTCTGTAAATACAACAAAGTCGATTTATACTTGAGACGAAAGATGGGACATCGTACAAATTGGTCGANTGACTAATGTACGGTGGAGTAGAAGCTTGGAGACTGGATCGTAATGAAATTGTCGCGAAAAAACCGTTTTTATGTCCCTTGATACCTAAGTAAAGTTCTTGATTAACATTTTTCTTTCATTTCAGATTCATCAAGTTCGACCGTTTCCGCTATAAAGAGAGGCACAAGAAGGCGATATCACCTTACGTGGCTGCTCTCCAAAGTCTCATCCTGGATACTTTCTACATGATCTTAATTGTTATCGGAATTTTCATCGTTTTCAAAATCCTGGGCATCGCCGTGTTCCTGTTGCTTAAAAAGTTTGATCTTGTACGGCAAGTAAAACACTACCAGACCAATCATGACCTCACGAGAGAAATGGCTGTTCCCCATTGCATTAAATATCCTTCATCGGAACAAATCGAAAGAGAGATCAGACCCATTCAATTGTCTGAGGAGATGAGAAGAAAATTTGGCCCTACTGTCCGAGAGGGGTACAGCACTCAGTGGGTCAAGTAGTACAGTCTGTTTCTCTACCGTACACGCAATCCATGATTTCATATAAAGTACTCTGTAAATACAACAAAGTCGATTTATACTTGAGACGAAAGATGGGACATCGTACAAATTGGTCGACGACGTGATAGATTTGTTTTATTTACAGTTGAACCTCTCTTGATTAGGGGACACATTCTATTTAGTGGCCAGTTACTGCATGAAATCCCGGTAGACAAAATATCAGTAAATTATTATTAACACTGCAATACTATGTTACTGTAGTCGTCTTTTCGATAAGTAATTTTTTTTTTCGTTTTGGTCAAATCTTAATCAGTCTAGGCCATACGTTTGCAGCGCATCATGAAAAAAGTTTTGTTTAGTCCTGTGTTTTTTAAGTTCTCTAATTATCACCTATTTGATAACCTTGAGTCTGGAAAAATAAATTAATGTTTTGGAAAAAGGTCTGGAAAGAAATCTTGATATTTGGATCCAAAAATCTGTACTATCCCTGTATATAGTCTAGTTGATTGTTTATCATATTCAATGAGAGAGACGCTTTTCAATATTTAATCTGTAAATGAGAAAGTATCTGCTGCGATATTTATGATGTACAGTAGATTTTTTAAAGTTTTCTTTGAGTTCATAAAGATTATATTTTTGTAAATAATGTAAATAAATATTGAAATAAAGGATTTTCTTCCAAATGATAAAATTCATCATTGTCATCATCATCTTCATCGTCGTCGTCGTCATTATTATTAGTAGTATCATTCTCTTTAAGCTGCCACTTCTCCCTTCAGTGAGGATGGCGCTTAACTGAGGTGTGACGCCGGTTTATACCGGTTATAGAGTCGGTGGGATGTTCAGTGGCAGTTACTTGTGTCTGTGTATGGGGATCTTCTGATTTCATTTACATAATTTTTAGCTGTAATCAGTTCTTTCCTATACTACTATTCAGTGTAAAAGTTAAAAAATGCAAGTGTTAATACGAACACTTCGGGCCTTAGCCTTTACCCGTAAACTTGTCAATAGATTTCCCTTTAGCTGCTTATTCAGGATTAGACTTTAGTCTGCTATTGATGGGTTAAAAGGCGAGTTCTGGCAACCAGTTGTGTGTTTAGCACCCTGGTCTGGCCCTAGCTCTTTGGCCGGGCGTGACGTAAACCTTGCTTTGTTACACATCTTTCTGCTTTCATGATCATTTGCATGTGAAAAACAAAAAGGTACTTGTAACAAAACAAGGCCATCTCTAGCCTCGAATCTGTTCAAAGGCCTGGACACTAAGCACACACAACTGTAAAATGGCCCAATTCAGGAAAAGGATAACAATGACCGACGGTAACGTGAGCGTCAAATTGAAAGCGCGCGTTTTTGCCAAATTTTATGGAAATTTGCCATATTTTAACTTTTTAGTTGCGCTAAAATGAAACTCCTTCAGTTTATTGATTTTATGCCAGCACTTCTAATCACTTCCCCCCCCTCTGATTCAGGTTTAAGAAGTATTCTCAATATGTTGCATAAAGGGGGACATTCTCCTCTTTTATTCCTTTGATTCTTAATAAACTGTTAGCATAGCCGAATAATCAGCGTCGCAAAATATAATACTAACGAAAAATGTGATAAGAATCACAGCAAAACGTAATAATTGGTCAATGGAAAATTTTAAATCACTTTTCAAACCAAAATGTATCAAAACTTTTCTTTTAATGACTTTCTTCCCTTTTGCTCAAGGAGGATATATGCATATCAGAGTGCGCCTGCTTCTTCCTCAGACGCGTCGTATTTCGCATAACTCACTTGCACATTTGCCATAATGCACCTTATTTGCCCCCAAAATTTTGCATAACCTTTGTTTTTCATTTCTCCTGGGTATTACAGCCGTCCCAAGAGAAACTGAAAACAATGCTTATGCAAAATTTTCGAGGGCAAAAAAGGTGCATGGGAGATGTGCAAGTTGCGCATAAAGCGAGCGCGAGACTGGTGACGAAGCGCAAGGAACCATGGGAAGGAGAAAGCGGGTCTCGCCCGTTTTCTCCTTCCCGCCTCCCTTTTCCCGCAAATTTTTATCGAGAGAGAGAGACCGTCTACGTACGAGGAACCGAGTTCACCCTTCCTAATTTTAGTGAAGTATGAACAAAACTCGCAAAATTTCTCGTGACACTGAGACACTACACCTTTCCGGCTTGAGGTCTCGTGCTCCCTGTTTGTGATAAATTCCAGCGCAATATTTAAAAATAGTTTTTTATTTCCTGACTTATTCTATTATCGCTACGTATAGACTGGAACAGTCTGTATTCACAACAGTGAAAAGAAAACAACTTTAATTAAAAGTAGTTAAAGGAATTTGTTTCTCAGTGGTAAGAAGGAAAACTATTTCTCCGTTAAATTAAAAAATTGCCACGTCGATTTTTGTTACTCCTGTTAGGCAGAATTTTAGCCTAACCTATTTAGCATGACATTACTACCCAAGTTTTATATGTACATCGACTGGGAGGATTGAAAACGCCATTCTCGAGTGTGCGATTCTTTACAATTAGTGAAGGCCAACCATTTTTATATGATTACTCACTCACAGAGATATATATAACATTAACTGTACGTATATTCAATAGACGTGGGTCCGTGTAAGCTTTCCGTTAGCGAGCTTTAACAACAAGCTAAGTGCGCTGACGTCCCCCGCCCGGACAAAACTAGCAACCAGAAGATTGGTGTTTTGCTTGAATGAACGGTTCTGTATGACACAACGTTCTTGGCTCAAAATTTTCAATTTCGCTCTCTTAGTATAACGTTATCGAGTCACAGTACTGAAAGAGGGAAAAGAAAAACCTACCGTTGTTATTGTTCAAGTCTACTAGGGACGTCAACGCTCTTGGTGCTTTATATCACTGTTGAGGCATGAAAAAATCTGAGCTATCATGTTCACGGTTCACTTTTACCATCTTTTAAAATTCGAGCAGCCTAGTCCTTTGGCGTTCTCTCTGGCCCTATTGTCCTCATGAAGTTTGGGAAAGGGTGCTCGGTGAGTTTCTCTCGGTGACGTCTCTCTCGGTGACGTCGAGCAGACGGAACTCCTGGGGACTAGGCTGAAATTTGAGTAGTACGACTAATTAAAATTCAAGAAACTACACGCACTTAAAAACAACTGTAAAGAGTTTCACCTTTCAAAGTAATCCTTTATATATAAATATACAACTTTTATACAAGTATATTAAATCATGTTTGGGAAGGAAGAGGTTTGTTTGCAGAGCTCAAATAGAATTAAAAAAAGTAAGTACAATTTTTAGCAACATCAAACAGCTTGGAAACAAAGACTACTATGAAAAATTAGAAGTTTCAAAACAAATTCTTCCGAAAAAGTCCATTCTATATCCAATGACCTTTCAAGTTAGAAGGGTTGAGACTGTCATGCCTCGGACTCTCTGGTTCTTAAATCTTCTTTAGATTCCGTGAGGAAAATCTTGGGAACCTGTAACTTCTTAGGACCGGCGTTACCTACGTCTGTAGTTTTGCTACCATCTAGTTCGTCCATACATTCTGATGACGTCAGATGAAACTGTTCCAAAATTTCCGGGGGCAATGACTTGTATACATGGATCTTTTTTACTCGTACCATTCCTCTTGACTTGAGAAAGACAAACACCCCGTAAGATAGAACAGCTATCAAAATAATCGACAATACGACACTCACGATGAAGTATATGGTAATCAGGACAATGTTTCGAACGGCGTCAACAAACCGTTTGGATTCCTTTTTTAGTCGTTGACGATAAGCTTCTCCATCGTAATCTTCATAAGGCGTCCCTTCCAGTTTGGGTATTATACAGGTTTGTGGATCAAACTTCAGAGTCGATGCAGATAACTGCGGCATTCCCTTCAAGCACGCGTCTGTGTCATTTTCCAGAGAACACATCTGACGTTTAAACTGCTCAATGCGTTCTCGTTGCTCCTGGTTGAAATCCACTGTCATTCGTTTATACTCAGACAAGGTCTCGTTTACCGACTCCTTGTACAGTCCCATTTCGTTATTATTTATAAAGTCAACTTGATCGGCAATAGCCAAGTTGGTAAAATTGTAGTCGGTATCAAGGCGGGACGAAATCAAATCATAGCCACCTAGTTCTTCAATAACCGTAACGTTCATAACGTTTAAAACAACAGCAATAATCAAGTACAAAACAGCACCAGAAGTAACAATTATTATGCACATCGGAAGAACATTTGTTCGCATAATCTTTTTATGAAGTGTCTTGCAAAATGTGAGGAACTTAGAGAATCTCTCGACCACGAAGTCGACAACCCGTCGGAACAATCTCTCAGCTCGTTGCTTTATAGCAGGTGGTTTTTCTTCGAATTCATCCTCATCGTGCCTCACAGTTTCTTCGAACCCTTGAATTAATCTAAAAGCCATCTGGTAAGTTTTCGATCCTCTATATATCAAAAGGAGAATGTCGATTACAACAAGAACACCCAAAACTGCTTTTTTGGTGACTATAAATACATCGGCATCATACGCCTTAGTAAGGTTTTTATACTTTCCCTTTTCTTCTAACAATTCCTCCTTTTGTTTGTCCACCTGTTCCTCCATAACATCTCCTTTTTCGATATTGTAGTAGGCGCCTCCCCGTGCTGATTCGATTAGAGAGGATTTATTCACTCCGGAAATGTTTCCGAATCCGTCTGAGCCATCCACTTCCTCGTAACCAATACGCTCGGAAAAGGAACTGGAATTTGTCTCGCTGACACTTAACTCTGGTGTGGACTCGTTAGCCGCAAAGAAATCACTGGTGTTGCCTCTAAAACATTCGGTCCTAGCTTTTATCCACTCGTCTCCCTCGTCCGCGAGCTTTTTTATTCCACTTTTCAACTGCTTCTTTGCAGAGCTTAGCATATAACGCAAAGGACACATGAGTATGGTACTAAGTGGATGTTCAGGGGACTTCCCTGTTTTGAGGACGTCGTTAAAATCCGCCAGTCCATCTTTGGCGTACTGAAGCTTGGCGTTGATGTTATTCTCATATTCAACCAACTTATCTTGATCAACTGCCCCAATGAAGTCCAGAAAACCGATGAAGGAACTGTCAGCTATGCTACGTTTGACTCTAACTGAGAAGGCATTTCGAGCTCTCCAACGATATCCGGTGGATCCTTCGCTCTTGTTGAGTAATTGCGTAATCTTTAGATAATTCTCGCCTTCTGCTGTTTCTCTTCTTTTTCTTCCAAACGCTTTCTTTACTTTATAGGCTCCTTTAGGTAAGGCAAACCATCCATTGTTGTACACTCTTCTTCCATAGTTTTTCAATCTTTCTTTGGTGTCTTTCAGCTTTCCTCTGGTACTCGCTTGGAAGGCTTTCACTCGCTGATCAATTTTCTTCTTTAAGGCCTGAATTTTTTCGGTTACTTTTCTGACAATTTTCTGGCTCAGCTTATTGAACATTTTTAAGTGGTTCTCCTGGATCAAACAAGTCATGTTGTACCTTAGCCACTGAAGCTGAAGTCCCAGATAGAAGTCACACGATCTCTGAATGTCTTCACTGGACTCTAAATTGCGTTTTGCCTCTTTTTCGCGGTGCTGATCCATTTGTAAAGCAATGGCATTGCTTTCGTCAACTTTGCTCTGGACGAATTCCTGGTATTCTTCAATTATTTTCATATTAGGTCCGTGAAGAAGTGTCAGAATCGCAAACGCCATCGAGAATGTAAAAATTAAGCTATAGACAACCCTAAATGACACGAAAAATAAGACTAAAATCAGATGCCTTCTTTTAAGCCTGTTTGGGTCTTTAAGTTGTGTCTTCTTCCCACTGCTTTCAGTTCTTACAGTCTTGATGTCTTTGGTTTTGACAAATTTCCAGCCTGGTGGACCATCCTTTACATCTTCATCAGACTTGTGAGTAATTTGTGCATAAATCATAATCGCAAACAAACATAATAGTATGCATCCAGTAACCACAAAGAGTGGCATTAAGGTTAACCACGGATCTGGTTTTTCGTCTTCACTTTTTTTCACCGGCTCTTTACCCTTTCTCGGGGGCTGGTCAACAACGGCTAGCTGAAGTTTCAGTTTCTGTTTTGCATCAGACAGATATACACTGAACAATCTTTCTTTGTCTTGCGAATTCTTTCTTGGAACATGAATTTCTAGTTTGAAGTGGGTTTCAGGACAAATTATTACCACATCTTGATCAAGAACCTTGACGCTGTCAACTTCATCAATGGCTTGAAGTGTGAAGAAACCAGGGCAGCTTGTTAAAACACCAGATATCTTCAAATTCCAACTGGTATTACTTCGTGACAAAACGCTTTGGAATGTTTCATCGTTGCGGATGCTTGCGTTCCTCAAAATATATTTGAAAAGAGACTCATCATCGGAAATCCTCACGGTCATCGAAGGAGGTCGGTGGGGATCTCGTATCTGATACAAGGACTCGCCTTTTCCTTGCACGCCTAAGTGTTCCACTTTTGCGGGTTTCAGATTACTATACGGTTTGCGAAGAGTTCGGGGCCAGTCAGCAAGTTTTTGGCAGGTCTCACCGTTGCTCCAAGATCTTGTAGTCAACGAAAACGGTGTCTTAGTTTGAAAGTGTATGGTGTTATCCGCATCGGCTTTTCCCAATGTTTCATCATCATCGTCAACTAAGCTCGATACACTATAACTATATGGTGTTTTTAAAGACTCTCTTTGGCCTCGAAGGTAAATAACGGGAGATGTGTCAAAATTTGTCGAGTGTGATATTTCTAATGAGTCTAGGTGATGCGTTCCTTCTTGTATGTTTGAGTAAGGATAGCCGTCTAGTTGCGACGTTTTCAAGGTTTTAGATATCCACGAGGAGATGAATCGCCCACTCTCGTGCTGCACACGATATCTTAGAGAATACAGTGTCTCCGGAGGGTTGAGCTCCAGATAACAGTTGAACTGTAAATTCAAATTGACTGATGTATTCATTGACAGAGTAAACTGGCTGGTATCCCCTTCAGCGCACTGCTTAGGCTCCGGAGTGCAGTCCCTGCTGTAGTAATACCTGCAGGATCTCAAACATCGTTTGAAACAGCACGAACAGGAGCTGCTGCCTTGGCTGTTTGAGTTAGAGTCACAATTTGAACACGAATCTCTGCACACAAGGCACGCTCGATACGCGTTGCTGCAGAAGCTCGTTGGAAATGTATCCAAGGGGTTATCGACAAAGTCAGACTCTTTGATATTGAATATATCGGTCACAATTTTTGTGTAATTCGTGCAATATAGCTTACTAGGGTCCTCTTTCAGTCTACACTCGCTCTGGTTGGCTTTGCGACAAATACGAGCGTCTTTGGCAGTGATACATGCATCGTTTATGGATCTGTAGTAGTAGACTTCGCCAGGGGCTGTGTTGCTTGGGCAGAGACCTAGCGAGTGTTCAAAACATTTTGCCGGGAACACTTTTGTCTGTCGATTTTTTTCTAGGTTATGTTTTAAAGAGTAGTGATTCGGGGCTGGATAGCGGCAATAGTTGCTGAAGACTTCTGGAAATCCACGTACATAGACAAAATTGAGATTTTCATTTGACTTCCATGCATCATAATCAGTGTACGTTAGAACAAGGTTGACTTGCTCAATTTCCAAGTCTACGTAGAAGCTTGAGTTCCGATTCAAACGAGTCCTGTTTGGTGAGTTACCTTTCAGTACAAAGGTTATGTTTTGGCTATCCAACTGCAGACGATCCTCTAGAAGGACCATGTTTTTTGTGGGTTTGAGAACAACGAGTCTGGAACCTGTTCGAACTAAATAAAAAAGAAGGCATCAGCACACGTTTTTTTGGAAACTGACGTAATCATCTCAGCAAAAGAATTAAAGTTCCACATTACCTTCATGCAAATTACTGTTATTGGAAGGTCTGGCTAAGGTTAGGGGTCTGGAAATATCTATAACGGAAGCCACATAAAGAAAATTAAGGATACTTTGTTGCGCTAAAAGTAAGACCAGGGGCTAGTTGCATCAAACTAGACGTTGAATGAGCTGAACGTCCGACGCCATTTAAGATGTATGTACCTGGTCCCAGGAACTAATAGCTGGCTATATAGACTATCAACCAAAAAAGAACCTTAATGTCTGTCTAAACTTTCCTCAGTATTGTTGTTGTTTTTTTCTTTATCGTTTCAATTGCAATTTCTTAATTTTAGGCCGCTGACGCAAAACGTCTTGTCGACAAATAAAGCATCAAATAGGAAAATGTGTAATAATGGCTTTAACATCACGACTGCATTCGTGTGTTTATAGTGTTTAGGCGCTGTTACATCAGATTTTTTCCTTATACAATTGGTTTTTTAATTCTCTTGCAACAGAAAACGTCCAAATTTCCCATTGTTAGACCCTTTGAAGCGGCCATGTTCCAAGACGTACATTGGTTGTTGATTGAGCACAGGACATTCTTTCGCAGCTAGCGTTGCATTACGTAAACCGTATAAGAGACAACTACTTTATTTTAGGGGTTGTTACAGATCACGTTTTGTGTAACTGAACGTTTCAATTTTTTCTGGTTCCAATGGCAAGACATCGATACAATTTACGCGAAGAATGTTGATCTTAACGTCACCCGAGTAGGCGAACTATGATTCCTTACCGACACATTTCCGATCGAACGTTAATCCACAGCCATAAGCTTGGTATGTCGTCCCGTCACATTTGGGGGTGCAAGCTGTAAACAAAATGAGTCAAATCAGCTTGCTTAGGCATTAAGAGCACTAATCAATCTGAAAGCTGGCTTAACATTATCAACTCGTAAAATGCTGGAAAACAACATTGCCGAGTGAAAGCATCGCCAAATAGATTTCAGTTGAATGGTCACATAATTGGACCTTGACCATTTTTTAAAATTTTTAGAATTTTAAAAACTAAGCACTCTGCGAACTGTTGCTGTAAAACTTGTTTATTCTGCTACGCGTTTCGTAGGGGCCACGGTTTTAGCTAAACCTGTGGCCCCAAAGTTTTCTCACGCCTTGCTAAAAAAATTTCACAGCTGCGCCTGTTCCTTTTCGAAAATCCGGCCAAACCTTCAATGTTTGCGCCCATCATTATTTTCAGTCATATTATGGCTTAAATACAGGCGTTAGTATTTGATTGTAAAACTCCCTGAAGAAGTCTACGTTAGTTAGACGAAACGCGTAGGAGAATAAACAAGTTTTACAGCAACAGTTCGCAGAGTGCTGCTCACTAGTTTAGTTTTAAGAATTAAAATTAAATAAAATGAATAAAAAATCGACTCAAACGATGGACTCCATCATTCACTCGGGCAGTGAAAGTGTTAAAAGGATATGATAACACTACATTGCCACAGTAATACAGTGATAAAAAAGGGTGTTAAAGACTACATGAAATCATGGCATACTTCGAAAATTATTTTACCAGCAGGTAACACATCTTTGGCGTAGAATTCCTAGAACACTAACTTTTATGAACAAATATATATAAAAACTTGCCCACCTGTGCAAACTCGGTCACGTGTTCGGGTGCATGACGCAGATAGGTAGAACTCTTCTTGGCACGGCTTGGTTGTACAACCTAGAAGGAAACGTAATTGGCCAGTTTCAAATTATCAAAATTCAAACCTGACTCCAAGGTTGAGAGAAATAACACAAAATAGATGAATTATTTACCACCTTTTATAGACTTATAATTCGGGCAAAAATCCTCTTAGCCAATCAGAGCTCAGTAGAATGGACGAGAGGAGCGAAGTATCAAGTGACAAAAATTTAACTGTTATGTAAAAAAATGTGGAAGCGAGGACTAAGAAGCCTTCCTGTCATGCTGAATTGTTTGAGCCACTATGAACCCAGCTACTTTCAAATCAAAATAGACTGATATTCTAACCCACTGACACCTATGGACTCTAGGGAGTGATTGGCTCTTGGTACTAGATAATTGTAAAGTTATGTGAAGCATTTTGCAATTCACCCCCAAATTCTGATTCAGAGGATTTATTTCGGTATATACTAAACTGCAACAAGGCGTTTCTTGTTATCGGGTGCGCGAAAAAGACGGTAGACAGGGAAAAAATGCTCTGTTACAGCGAGTTCTCTAGACTGACATTACATCTACGGAATAAATTGTCTTCGGTAAAGGATATAAGCGATCAAAGCTTCTAATTTTAACCTACCATAACATTTAACACCGTCTCCCCAATAGCCGTCATTGCAGGTGCACGTAAATCCACCGTCGGTGTTGCTGCATGTCGATTGCGCGTGACAGTTATGCTTGTTGCTGCTGCATTCGTCCACATCTGTACGTAAGCAGTATTTACAATATTTCATTCTTTTTTTGTGGTTTAAATGTTTATCGTTGTTATGGAAAGGCTGAACACAAGTTAAGGCTAGGGTCAGGGCTTGAGAACATGTGTCCTGATTAATCTCGCAACTGATTTTGCACAAAAAAATAGCATTGAAGACTTTCGAGTTTTTCCTTCCGGGTTTTTCCTTTACCTTCGAGTGAAGTTTGCCAAAG